AGTGGGGCAGGATATGGGGCAGCAGTGGGGCAGCAGTGGGGCAGGATGTGGGGCAGCAGTGGTGCAGCAGTGGGGCAGCAGTGGGGCAGGATGTGGGGCAGGATATGGGGCAGCAGTGGGGCAGCAGTGGGGCAGCAGTGGGGCAGGATATGGGGCAGCAGTGGTGCAGCAGTGGTGCAGCAGTGGGGCAGGCTGTGGGGCAGCAGTGGGGCAGGATGTGGGGCAGCACTGACGCGGTTGTGGATGAAGAGCTGCAGCTCCCCGCTCGGCTGCTCCAAGCGCAGGAGGCGCTGCCAGAACAAATCCAGGAACGGCGTCGGCTGCTCCACGAACACGGCCAGCACCGCGCGCACCGCCTGACAACGACCGCCAGGGGGCGACATCGCAACGCGCATCTATGGGGCGCGCCACGCTATGGGGCGCACGCACATCTATGGGGCACACGTGCATCTATGGGGCACATGCACATCTGTGGGGCACACGCACCTCTATGGGGTGCACACACCTCTATGGGGCACATGCGCATCTATGGGGCACATGTACATCTATGGGGTGCACACACCCCTATGGGGCACATGCGCATCTATGGGGCACATGTACATCTATGGGGTGCACACACATCTATGGGGCACATGAGCATCTATGGGGCGCACACACCTCTATGGGGCACACGCACATCTATGGTCCTGCCCCACACATCTATGGGGCGCACGCACCTCTATGGGGCACACCCCTCACATCTATGGGGCACACACAAATCTATGGGTCCTACCCCTCACATCTATGGGGTGCACACACATCTATGGGGTGCACACACATCTATGGGTCCTACCCCTCACATCTATGTGGCGCACACACATCTATGGGGTCCCGCCCCACAAATCTATGGGTCCCACCCCACACATCTATGGGTCCTGCCCCACGCATCTATGGGGAACACACACACCTATGGGTCCCACCCCACACATCTATGGGTCCCACCCCATACCGTGCCGTTCCCCACATCCTGCACTCCGCGCTCGCAGTCCCCGCAGCCACTGGGGCTCCAGCCGTTGGGGATGTAATTAGCTAACGAGTTCAGCTGCAGCTGTGAAGCAAACAAGGGCACTGAGACCCCATAACCACCCCACAACCCCATAGAAACCCCATAACCCCACAGAGACCCCATAACGACCCCATAAACCCATAGAGACCCCATAACGACCCCATAACCCCATAGAAACCCCATAACCCCATAGAGACCCCATAACCCCACAGAGACCCCAGAATGACCCC